TGCAGGACGGCCCATCCGCGTCCCCAAGGGAACGCCAGGCTCAGAAGTGGGGCCTGGGGGCACTGGGAGATGGCCACATGCAGAGGGCACCCAGGTTTGTGCCAAGCCCCCCCCCTCCCCCCGCCCCATGGCTCTGCTGGCAAAGGGAGCGTCTGACACCAGACGTAAGCACACAGGACAGGGCCAGGCGCAGGCACTGCGGGGGGGCTGCCAAGCGCTGAGGCCAGGGCAGCGGCTGCCAGGCGCAGTTGCTCATTGGTGCTGGGATCGGTTAGCACTGGAATGGGCGAGGCAGGGGCGACCCTGCCCCCTGCAGCTTCATGTGGACACTGGTGGGGGGAGGTGCCCTGGGCCCCCGTGGGGCTGCAAGGACCTGGGGTGCAGGGAGACGTTTGAGGCCCAGAGAAACATTCATCTGGGAGCAGCTGCTCCAGTTGCTGGAGGAAGCTCCCGGCGCAGGGGGAGGTGGGGGAGGGGTCCCTGCTTGGGCATGTGGGGCCCAGGGCCGCTGCCCACTTCACCCCTGGGCTGCTGGAGCTGGTGAGTGGCCCATTGCGGGGGGTGGGGCTACGCCACGTGGCTGCCCGGCCTCCTGCCCACCAGCTCTGGTCTCTGCCTGCAGCACTGGGCCTTGCTGTGCGTCTCGCTGCTGAACTGCCTGCTCTCTGCCGCCTGCAGCCTGGGCTTGGCTCTGGCCATCTCCCTCACCATCGCCAGCAGGGGGCACCGCCTGATGGTGGGATGCAACAGCTCCGCCCTTCCTGCCGACGCCCGGGCTGCCATCGCCACCAACGACTGCCCCTTCGACACCACCCGCATCTACGTGAGTCCCTGCTGTGGGGCCGGGCCCCGCCCATCCATCGCCCCTGCTTGCCCCCCTCCTGCACGCCCCCTGCTCCCTGCTGTGGGGCCGGGCCCCGCCCATCCATCGCCCCCTGCTCGCCCCCCTCCTGCACGCCCTGACCTGCCTGTGCCACACCCCGCAGGACACGGCCCTGGCGCTTTGGTTCCCCTCCATGGTGATGGCTGCGGTGGAGGCTGTGCTCTCCGGCAGGTGCTGTGTGGTGTCCCTGATCCTCCGCGGCATCGGTCCCTGTGCAGACACCTACATCCGCCAACAGGTCAGAGGTTCCAGCCAGAACCGCCCCCTTGTCCCCTTCCCCTCCCAGGGACTGTCTCTCGGGGAGGGGGGGTCCTCTCCCCATTTGGTGCACCAGACGGATTCACCTGGGACCCTGTGCTCTAACCCCGAGGGTCCCAGGGGTTGTTTCCCTAACACGCACTGAGAGGTGCTGCCCCCCCGCCCCCCCAGGTGTGAAGGGAATGGAGAGGCCAGAGCAAGCATGGGGTTGCGGGGGTCCAAGGCCAGATATATATGGGCTTTGGGGTGGGAGGGGCCAGACTGCAGTGCAGGGCCAGGCATGTCTCCCCAGGGCTGTCCCCCATCTGCCCCCCATGCTCTGCCCACACAGCAGCACGTGACATTGCTCATCCAGCTTCAACCCTGAAAACATCCACTTGATGCGCAGCGGCTGTCAAACCAGCTACCAGAATGGTGGGAACCGTTAAGAAAGGGATAGATAATAAGACAGAAAATATCATAATGCCACAGTATAAATCCATGGTGCGCCCATACCTTGAATACTGCGTGCAGATGTGGTTGCCCCATCTCAAAAAAGATCTATTGGAATTGGAAAAGGTTCAGAAAAAGGCAACAAAATGATTAGGGGCCTGGAACGGCTTCCGTATGAGGAGAGATTAAAAAGACTGGGACTTTTCAGCTTGGAAAAGAGACGACTAAGGGGGGATATGATTGAGGTCTATAAAATCATGACTAGTGTGGAGAAAGTAGATAAGGAAGTGTTATTTACCTGTGACATAACACAAGAACTAGGGGTCACCAAATGGAATTAAGAGGCAGCAGGTTTAAAACAAACAGGAAGTATTTCTTCACACAACGCACAGCCTGTGGAACATGTTGCCAGGGGAGGTTGTGAAGGCCAAAACTATAACTGGGTTCAAAAAAGACACAAATAAATTCACGGAGGATAGATCCATCAATGGCTATTGGCCAGGATGGGCCGGGATGCAGCCACATGCGCTGGGTGTCCCTAACCTTCTGCCTTCCCGAAGCTGGGCCTGGACAGCAGGGGATGGAGCACTTGCTAACTGCTCCGTTCAGCCCCTCTGGGGCAGGGCTTCTCAAGCTTTTGCTTTCTGAAGCCCCCCCAACATGCTATAAAAACTCCGTGGCCCCCCCGTGCCACAACTGTTTCTCTGCATATAAAAGCCGGGGCCGGCGTTAGGGGGGAGCAAGCGGGGTAGCTGCCCGGTGCCCCACACCACAGGGCCGGCGTTAGGGGGGAGCAAGCGGGGTAGCTGCCCGGTGCCCCACACCACAGGGCCGGCATTAGGGGGAGCAAGCAGGGTAGCTGCCCGGTGCCCCACACCACAGGGGCCCTGTGAAGCCAAGTTGCTCAGGCTTTGGCTTCAGCCCCTGGTGTCCGGCCTTGGAGCCCTGGGTGGTGGGGCTTCGGCTTTCTGCCCTGGGCCCCAGCAGGTCTAATGCCAGTCCTGCTGGGCGGATCCCCTGAAACCTGCTCATGGCCCCACAGTGGGACCCAGACCCCTGGTTGAGAACCACTGCTCTGGGGCACCTGGTACTGGCTGCTGTGGGAACTGGACACTGTGCTGGGTGGACCTTTGGTTTGCCCCAGTTTGGCCGTTCTTATAACCCCTGCACACCCCCCTGGGGGTTCAGTCACCCCAGCCCTGGCATCGCACTGCCCCGGGGCACCTCGTTCAGGTGTCTGCGTCCTTTCCAGCTGGAGGAAGAGACGGCGACAAAGAAGGTGGCATCTGAGGACCGGCACAGGCAAGAGCTGTGCCAGCTGCTGGCTGTGGAGGACGGGGCCCGGGCCTAGTGGCAGAGGTGAGCATCACCTGACCCAGCCAGGGGAACAGGGCCCATGGGGGAATCCGCTGGGTTGGTGGGTCTCTGACTGTCCAGCCCAGCCTAGCTGGGAGCTGCTTAACCCAGTGCAGCTTCCAGCCAGGCAATGGGGACACTGTCACTCCCCCTCCTTGCTCCCCATTCCCCGCCCACGCCGGGGCTCCGAGTCCCTCGGTGCCGCCCCCTGGCAGGCCCCATTCCTCGCCCACGCCGGGGCTCCGAGTCCCTCGGTGCCGCCGCCTGGCAGGGCCTCAGGAATCTGTAGCCACCATAGCCGGACGGTTTCTTTCTCTCGCAGGTGCTGCTCCAGGAACCCCCAGACCACATCAGCCGGGAGTGGGGGGTGAAGCGCCCATTATGCTGATGCTGACCCATGGAAGAGGCAGGACCCAGGGCCAGGAGGGAGGGGGCAGCTGCCCCACCTGGCAGTCTTTTCCTTGGGGAGCAGGCTCCCTTCTCCTGTGGCAGGGTCCTGCTGGTATCTGGGCTCCCGCGGCTGTCCCCCTCGTGCCCGGAGTGTGCCAGTCCTGCTGCTGCCAGCCCTCCCGGGGGTCTGCCCACCATGCTTTGCTGAGTTCCCACCCCCCTAGGGCCATGGGGGAAGGGATCCCGCCAGAGACGCCAGTGGGGAGGGGGAGAAGCAGCCTGAGCAGGGACATCTGGACAACCAGTGACCTCGCTGCAGGTGGGACTGGCCTTTCTCAGCTCCCCTCCCTCCACACCTGCCCCTTAGCTCGCCCCCCTCCCACTCACACACCCAGCTGTGGCATGAGCCGGCTCTCACCCCGGCCCGCTGCGGGTGTGCTAGGCCCCGCCAAGTCTGCGGCGCTGGGGCTGTACTGCGCCTAGCACAAGGGGCCAGGGCTTGGCTGGCCCTCAGGCACCAGCCGAATAAACACTGCCAAACCCTCAATGGTTTGGGACCTGGTTCCCCAAGTGACTCCCCAAACCGGCTGCAAGCGAGAGCTCAGCTGGGTACAGCCCTTGGCAACTAGCCAGACTCAGCAACACCCGGCTGTCCTCTGAGGGTGTGTGTGTGTGTGGGGGGGGGGGCTGAGCAGCAGTGGGAAGCAGGTTGTAACTGGGGTCAGTATAGTGGGAGAGGAGCCTGGCAGGGGGTGGGGCTATGGGGAGGAGCGTGGCAGTGGGTGGGGTGTGCATAGAGGGGGGAAGAGGCCTGGCAGTGGGGATGGGGGTGTTAAGGGAGGAGGAGCCTGGCAGGGGGTGGGACATTGAAGAAAGGGGAGGAGCCTGGCAGGGGGTGGGGCTGTGTGTAGAATGGGGAGGAGCCTGGCAGTGGGCGGGGCATTGAAGAAAGGGGAGGAGCCTGGCACTGTAGCCATGTGCAGGGAAGGACTCTGTCTCTGGGGCCAGCCCCTGTTGCTCAGCAGCTCGCTCGGTCCTGCCATTGCTCCGGTGCCCTATAGGAAGATGTGGGGGTGCTGGACACTGCTTGTACAGTCAGGGCCTGGTGCTCAGCACCCGACGCTCCCCCTGCACTTGCATCCCCCAGGCAGCGGAAGGGCCCAGCCTACCCTGGCCCCACAGGGCGTGGTCTGGAGGGCAGGGCCCCTGTGCTCCTTCTTGGTAGCTCTGAGCCTGGCCTGAGCCCTGTCACTTCAGGGCCCCCCCCCCGGTGGTGCGAGCCTGTCGGGATCCTGCGCTTGTCCCCTGCCTGGCCGGGCACTGGGTGCCCCGTGCAGCCGGGGAGGTGCGTGCCGTGGGCTGGAGGCAGTGGGATGCTGCCCACCCCCAGGGAAGTCCAGGACGCGCAGGCAGGGCCGGACACGGGATCAGGACCACGGCTGGGGCTCCACAGCCTGCTTTAATGGGGGAGGTGGGGCTCAGGCCTGGTGGCCGGCCCGGGGCACTGCCACGCTCACTGGAAGGAGAAGCTGCTGCTCGGCAGCCCCCCGGACCACTGGCCGATGAACTTGAGCACTTCTTGGCACATGGGACTATGGGACGTCTGCAAGAGAGAAGAGGCGGCACTGGGCACGGGATTGCAGAGCCGGGTTGTGAGGCTGAACTCAGCTCCCTGGGAGTCAGCGCATCCCCCCACTCCCTCCTGGGCTGCCTGGGCAATGCGAGCCCAGCCCCCGAGCATGGGCATGACCAGGCAGCAGCTGGGCCCAGCCCCCCCACCTCACCTGCCTCTTGCCCCCACGGGGGGGGGGGGGCACCGCTACACTAGGGCAGCCGCGGAGCCTGTCCCCTGGACTGGAGTGGGGTGGGGCACAGCCCTGGTCCCTGGGGCTACTGGGGATGGGCCGGGGAAAGGGGGGACCCAGCGGGATAATACACATGGGGGCTGCATGGGGCTGGGCCAGGCTCAGACCCCGTGGGAGGGCTGGGCCCAGCCAGTTCCTCTCCAGCTGAG